TTTTTTTTTTCAGTGTGCATTTGCTAGAAATGGGTTTGTGAAGTTTTGGGTGCTGTTATTATTATTGTTGTCTTTAAATTCTTTCTACTTTATTTTGCATCATTTGTAAGAATTGGATGGCATATAAATCACTCAAGTAAATAAGTAAATAAATCCAATAAGTTCATTCATATTATTAGGAGTGCAAAAATGTTCAATAAAATGCAAGTTAGGACTGGATCTTATCATTTTAGGCCATATGCTTTCTTTCCAAATATTAAGAAACCTTAAAAAAATATCAGCCTTATTATCATGCTTCCAAATATCTACATGCATGTTCAGAGAGAAGCCTTGCTGGCTACGCTGTGGCTTTTGAAATATTTTCTGGCATTGCAGATGGAGACATTGTCCACAATGGCAATGTTCAGGTCTTCTGCTGTGTACCAGACAGTGTGACTGATCCATTTAGGCTTACCAAATTCCACCTTTTTAGATTAGCCTTTGCCAGCCACAGACTTTTGATTTTCAATTATTTTTTAATTATTCTGGATGCCTATTCTCCTTATTGGCTGATTTGAACAAAGTTTTGGAATTCAGATGAAAATTAATACAATACACTTTTATGTACCATTTGAAATCCTTATTTGAAATTTCAGTAGCAATCAGGAAAAGATGGAAACATGTCATTTCTTGTTCTTCCCTTTTTCTGTTCTTTAGTTGTCCAAGCACTTGGTACATAGGGCCAACAGAAGAAATGTAAATATAAAAGACTGTTTAGTATCAGAGATTTTATTATGTGTTTTCAAAACTTTTTGCAATAGAATTTTTCATAGAATTGGACCTGATTTTTTTGTAATGTAAGTTGAAGGTCTTTTTAATCATAGCATATTTCATCATTAGGTTAAATAAAACATGTGAAGAATGATGCATAGGGACTTGTCTGTTCAAGACACACAAAGGTATATCCCGTATGAGAAGATTTGGAATCTGAACTCAATGAATCAGCTTGGAGCTCTTAATACAACAAAATTTCCTCCAATCCTTTGGGAAATCATCAGGAATTTATGATAAAGGCATTTCATAGATGGTTCAGGAAGTCCTTGACTTAACAACACTTCATTTAGTCATCGTTCAAAGTTACAATGACACTTAAAAAACCAATGAGGAAGCCTGATTCACTTAAGAACCGTATTACTAACTTAACAACTTTGGTGATTCATTTCACAACTGTACCAAGTAGGGTCATAAAATGGAGCAAAACTCACTTAAACAAATGTCTCACTTAACAACAGAAATTTTAGGCTCAATTGTTGTTGTAAATTGAGGAATATCTGTACTTCTAAAATTACTATAGCAATCACAATACTTCCGAAATTGTACTGAAGGAGCTGAAGTCAGATCCCTACATATTAACATCCCTAGTAGCAATGCTCATTATTTATTTATTTGGGCAAAGAAATTTAGAAAATTACTTCACAACTGTTGGCAGTCAATACTACTTTCCGTGTATTGCTTGTGTGGTATGCAGCAAAATGAATTAATTCATTTTTCTCTGTTGGTGCAAGAAAAAAACATGGCAAATCTTTGGGAAACTAAAATATATATTTTTAATTAGTTTAATGATATGATACATTTTAATTTTTTCCTTTATTTTAATCACATTGTTTTTATTCATACATTTTGTCATTTCTGTTTTATCTTGCTATAAGTCATCCTCTGTGGAGAAATAAAGGGAATGTAAATAAGATTGTATCTATTTAAAGAGAGAGGGGGGCATTAGAACAGTGCCTTAGAATCCCATCTGGGGTTATTTTTTATGAAAAAAATGGGAATCAATGTATGTAATTTAAGGATCTAAATAAGCACTATTGAAAAATTAGCATAGAAACAAAGAATGTTGAAGAAATATTCATCTAATTATTGATTTAGATTTGCTTTATGTTTTTCAATTATATAAACAAAATGTTTCCTAATCATCTTTTTTGTACAATAAATTCAATATTTAAATATTGATTTTTTTGGAGGGGGGAAATTACATTTTTCTTTAAAATTGTAATTTATTTATTTAAACACACTTACTATATCTGGTTATCCATCTACCAAATGGAAGCCTTGAGATGTAAGTGAGGTATATATATCAATATATGCATAAACACATATGTTGGTATCAGCATTATCAAAAGGGTGGGGTTCCCCTTCTCTTATTATTTTTAATCAATATTTCTTATTGATGTTTGTCTCTTATTTTGAAAAAAAGATAAAGAAAAAATAGAGTATGATTTGGGACTCGTGATTAATCTTTCAGTCAGACCTTCTACAGATCTTTCATGAGAGAAAATTTATCAAGGAAATGATTTTAAAACACAAGGATGTTTGCCCAAGAAGTTGCTAAAACTATAAAGTATATACTGCAGAGTGTACCTTTATGATTGATTTCCATTTAAGTCAGACTGACTGCAGTGTGGTCATTTTTCTAACCCATCACTGTTCTTCCTGCAGCAGTTTGCTATCTGCAGGGTGTCTGAATTATAGCAGTCCATGTCTCTGTTACCTTTTACACAAATTACTTACACTGGTTTCTTTTTCCATGCAAATTTATCAGTTTTACAGCCCCTTGTCTCCATGTCAGGAAACTCTAGCAGGCAGCACAAATTGATAAAATGAGTTAATTTTATAATGTTCCTTTTTTCTTAACTTCATTTGCCAATTTTACAGGAAACATAGTGTAGTTAAGATGGTAAATAAGTTTCTTTTCCAAGTTAATTCCTTTTAAAGATCACAACAGACTAATTCCCATTTTAATAACATTCTTTTTTTTTTCCTTCTGTGCTCTTAAAATGCATTATATGTATCAGAGCACATGAATTCAACAGTATCAAGGGAACAATATAAGAATTGTATTCTTAATGCAACCTGTTTTTGTATGCTATAACCAGAACCTATCTACAACTTCATGTATTGTAATTTAGAGCATGAACCATCCTTGGAATGTTCAATTTCATTCCATGGCATGGGTGGAAAAGGCCTCAGATCGTGATAACCTGTTTTGTAGCCAAGGAGCACAATGATAAAAATAGTTATCTCATAACAAGTAGACTCAGGAGTGGGATTCTACCAGTTCAGAACAGTTCGAGTGAACAGGTGATCATTTGGCCCCGCCCACCTGCCCCTGCCCTTTTCCTGTGCTTTATTTCCTTGTTTTGGAGCACAGCTGATTCGCGTGGCAGAGTGGTTTGCCATTCATCAGCTGTTTTACTCACCAGGGCTACAGCAGAAGGTAAGTATTATAGCTAAAAATTGTCTTTTCTAAATGCTGGGTGTGCACACAAAGTGTGCACTCACCAAACTGGTTGTTAATACCGGTTGAATCGCACCACTGAGTAGACTGTGTTTTGTGGTAATAAATATTGCTTGGACCCCCCAAAAAGGTGACGGGGTTGACAGGACACAGGCAAATCTGCAGATGGTCATCCTTGCAGTGAAGAACATCCGTCGGAGTAGATGACACTGAATCAGAAGACCTGTGTTTACCTCTGAGTTAGCTGTTGAGAGGCCCTTTGAGGTTCAAGGAAACAGTATGGCATTACATTAAAATGGGTGTGCTGTAGGAAATCCTTAAAAGAGTTTTGTATTATCTGATTGTGATGTATATATCTAAGTTTGGATTTTTGTGCAGTTACTATTTAGCACTCAGTTTTTTTAAGTAAAATCTTGTTTTCTATAAGTTCTCAAGGGAGTTTGAGCCTGTGACACTCTGCTGAAGCTATGCAAGTTTCATTTCTCATTTTCTTCCACCAGAATGAGAAGGGATTTTAATGCATATTATCTCTGCATTTCAGCTGGAAAAGCCATTCTTGCAGAAGCTCATCTTAATATAGTACCTACTGTTATCTAGTTCTCATCAATTGGCTTTATTAAATAATTTTCTTATTTGTCAAATGTTAAGCTATGAATTATACTTTGTATGGTTAGGTTCATTGTGCATCATTTTTCAGGTGCTACATATCCAGGAGCAGATCTGGAGCAAACTCCATAGTCAGTGTTGATGCTTGTGGTTTTCTTTGCAATAGAACAGACAGCTTTGCTTTTCCTACATCAGGATTCATGAGAGTGATATGAATGTATAAATGAAATATTTCATTTATTTTAATGGTCTTTGTTTAATAAAATTGCAATATGCATAATAACTCTTCATTATTAAAAAAAAAAAGTTTCCTTATAAGAAGCAAGAGCAGGCTTTAGATTCTTATCAAAAACTGTTAACTGCATAGGTATCAGACAGTGTAATGCTTAACTGGAAAGAGCTTCAGTGACATCATATGTGAAAATCAAATCCATATTATTGACAGAAATAGATTCATGGTTTCTTTTACTCTGCAGAGAAAAAAGTTGGGTCATATTTTTGTTAATATATAAATAAACCACTTTATTGCATGCATGTGATGATCAGAAGAAACTACAGCAAGTTACAAGCATAACAATTTTACAGAAGAAGTAGTAGTGAGAATTGGTTGACAACTTTTGTGAATTTACCCAATGTATCAATCATGAGGAAACTTTTTCAGAAGTAGTACTACTCATATAGTATTAACAGAGGGAGTGTTCAAATATATTAGTAAAAGTTAGACTTCCCTTTTAGAAAAAAATATGAGGGGTTCCTTGGTGCTCTCTGAGTTTGTTTGTTTTCTTGCAGACATTTTGTTACCCTAACTAGGCAAAGTTATCACTTGACTAGCCCTGATGATGTTACCTAGTTAGGGTAATGAAACGTCTGCAAGAAAACAAACAAGCGCAGAGAGTACCAAGGACCCTCTCATTTCAATGATACTTGTACCTGAGCTACAAATATTCTCCTTTATTAAAAAATATTTTCAAAGAAAAGATTAAATGAAAAATGCCTTAATGCTATAGTGCTAGCTATCTGATATCTTTCAATTTGCACACTGGGTCAAGTCATCAAAGCGAAGGAGACCATTTTCACATGACTTACTGATTTCTCCCCTTCCCCCCTTTATTCCCAGCACCAATAGCTGCAGGAACAGGCCCTAACTTCTCACTCTCCGATTTGGAAAGTTCCTCGTATTACAGTATGAGCCCAGGAGCAATGAGGAGATCTTTACCAAGCACCTCTTCTACCAGGTAATTTCTGTATAGTATGTTTGTCGAATTAAAAGGTTGTGACATGATAAGTGTTTGGGGCAATCAAATATGGATAGAAATTGAAAGCTACCCACAGATGTATAGAGTCCTATGGCAAAAGAAATCCCAACAATGGAAATGACTATTTCTACAGGGTTCAAAGTTTATGTTGGCATAACAAAATTACTGAAGTAATAGAGAAAGTTGCTTTACACAAAAAAATAAAGACGTGAAAAGCCTCCATGCCATTAGATTTCAAGCAGGAATTGCTGTTTGCGTATCTAATCCATGAATGTTGCATTTGGGGACAATTGTTTCAAGTGGCAAGTTATGTATGCTCATCTTTAGAAAAATAAGTAACAGTAGCCATTCCTCTGAAACGCAACATCTATGGCAGTTATTTTTTAACCAGCAATCTGTGTAATAGCATCTTATGATATGTCATTCTTTTTGCCTATTGTAAACAGACCAGGTCTTGGCCCAGCATACCTCACAAAAGTGAAAATAGGAGGAGAATGCTATATACACTGCCTTGGACTCCTGGATAAAGGGCGGAGTATTAACCTAACAAATGAATAAGAGTATTTTTATTTGATCTTTCAAGAGTTACGTCATAATATAGGTATTCCTTAATTTATAACAATTCACTTAGTAACTGTTTGAGGTTAAAACAGCACTGAAAAAAGTAACTTATAACTGGTCCTCGCATTATAACCATTGCAACATCCACATGCTCCCATGATTAAAATTTAGGTGCTTGGCAACCCCCAAAAAAATTAATGACTTTTTTTTTCTCATGAGGAGTTGACTGTATGGGGAAACTTAATTTTAAAAATGCGGGGGGGGGAATGGTGATATGGAAAAATTAAACGGAAGCAGAGTTATTGACTTTGGACCAAATGATAGATGATTATGAATTTTGAACATACTATGTGCTTAGAGATTAATATCATCTACCATTTGTAACCTAATAGCAATAATTACAGTTACAACATTTGTTAACAACATTGTTTGAGCCAGCAGTGTTTTCAGTTTTTGAGACATCTGAAATATTAGAACAACTTGTAAAATCCTTTAAAAATATAGACTACCAAATTAAGATATAAGAGGAGACCATGGTTTTTTCTCTTTTCTATATTAATTTTCATAATTGAGAAGAGTATGTTTCCCTCCATTATGCCCTAATTCAGTAAACTGCAAGTTCATGAAGAAGAAATCAAACCATTGCTAGCGATTAGGGGAAATAGAGAAGTAACATCTTCATTTCTTATATGTTATGTTAAACAGTAATAAAAGAGAGAAAACAAACACCTTGGAAAGGGAATGCTCATGGTCAGAACTTTGCCAGATCATTTATATAACAAGAAACCAGGATTTCTAGTCATAATTCTGTCCCATATATGTAAAATAGATTTAAATTGCTAGGACTATGATATTGTAAAGAGATGCCACAGTAGAATAGGAAAACTTGCAGAATATTGCAAGAATAGTAAACATCTAGATCAGGGGTGTTAAATTCATGGCCTAGCCACGCCCATGCCCGATTTAATGAAGGGGAAAAAAATCATGATACGTCACGTGACAACTCCATGATGACGCGAGTTTGACACCCCTGCTCTTGATTAAAAAGTTGCTGTTATTGTAAGAGCATTTGCTGAGCAAAATCATGTAAATTTGAACAACTGTTGTTTAAAAATCAGCTCAAAAATAAAATGTTAGGACAATAAATAATAAACCTACCATCTTAACTCCTTTTGCTATAATTGATTGCTTCATAACTAACATAGAGTTCCTTTATGTATGTATTCAGGAAAAGAAGAAACTCTTATGGAAGTAACATGAAAAGTTGTCCTACATATATTATTTATATAATTTTAAATATAGTTAATCTTACAATACAGGTAGTCCTCAACTTACAACAGTTAATTTAGTGAGAGTTCAAAGTTACATCGTCACTGAAAAAAAGTGACTTATGACCATTTTTCACACTTACTACCATTGCAGCATTCCCATGGTCACATGATCAAAATTCAGACAGTGGGCAACTAATTCATATTTATGATGGTGGCAGTGTCCTAGGATCCTGTAATCACCTTTTGAGGCACTCTGACAAGCAAAATCAATTGGGAAGCCAGATTCACTTAACAACCATGTTTCTAACTTAACAACTGCAGTGGTTCATCTAACAACTGGGGCAAGAAACTTTGCAAAATGGGGCAAAACTCACTTAAATGACTCACTAAGCAACATAAATTTTGGGCTCAATTGTGGTCATAAGTCAAGGACTACCTGTATATATCACCTCTGGCTATTAGTTTGTGCTAACTGACTTATATTCATGCTCTTTATCCCCAACCAAAGGGAGGGGAACTTAATATGTATCAGTAATCAGTACAACCATTTTCAGAGTTTCACTTTTTTATGAGAGTCCCAAGTACTGTGTATATAATTCTCATTAATTAGACCTAGTCTCAGACTGTTTGCTTCCTCTCCAAGATTGTTAAAATAGACATTTTATCAATGATACTTAAAAGTAAAGCACAGCTGTCATTCTTATCTGCTTCTACAAGTACCTGATACAGATAAGCTAAGTAAAATAGCATCAGTAATGAATAGCTTACACTGTATGTTTGCTGTTTGCTGTTTCCTCACATTGCTTTTGTAAGGCAAAAAAAGTCTTAAATTATTCACTTCTAAATGTATTTACTTGGAAGTATATTTATATTGATTCCAGTAAATTTACTTCAAAGTACATTTTAGGATTGTTGCCTAGCAAAATAATTGAGGCAATGATAATATGGTAAGAAAAATATGTTGTTGACAATTGCATTTCCTCATAAACTTAGGGATCAGAGGTTGTTTTTTTTAGCATTTCTTAGCTGTGACAGGACTCTTGTTACAATTATTTTAAAAATAAATGACTAACCATTCATTAAATCAAATGAATTATAAGAACAGCTGAGGTCATAAACCATATATGCCCATTTATATTTACCATATTTGTGTAGTACACCCAGGGGTGGGATTCAATTTTTTTAACAACCGGTTCTGTGGGCGTGGCTTAGTTGGTGGGCATGGCTTGCTGGTCATGTGACTGGGTGGGTGTGGCCAACTCGACGTCACTCACATCAAGGGGTGTTTCTCCTTGCCTGGCCTCTCATGACAATGGGGATGCTACAATGGTCGTAAGTGTGAAAAATGGTCATAAGTCACTTTTTTCAGTGCCATTGTAACTTTGAATGGTCACCAGTTTTAGACCAAAACTCAAAAAGGGTATGTAAACTCACATTTCAATGTCAATCTTTTTAGCTAGCCAAGAAGCCTTGCTGAATGTCACTCATCTTGGTTCCTTGTCATTAAAAGCTTCTTTCTGGCAGCTCTGCTCATTATTCAATTATTTCTTCAAAGTGTTAACTTTCCTCCCAACAGCAGTATAGAAATCTTAAAACCACCCTTCCCCTTTAAGAAAGTACCAGCAAAGGAAAAAAAAAACCTCCTTCAGAGACAGTAAGTCTAGGCATACTGCCAAGAATGTAAGAAGGGTAGAAAAAAACAAAAGGAGATTTCTTCCAACAATTGGTTCTCCGAACTGCTTAGAAAGTTAACAACCGGTTCTAGCGAATAGGTGAGAACCTGTAGAATCCCACCCCTGAGTACACTTTCACTTTGTATAAAAGTGAAAGACTTATTGAAACAGGGAATACACTGAAGAAGGCATAGCTGTTCCTCTCCTTAAGGATTAGAAAGAAAAGAATCGCCTCAATTTTTTTAAAAAAAATTGTTTTAAATAATTTTTTTAAGAACTATGAATTATCTCAGCAAAGTCTTAGAGGCAATGGGACAATGGCAGTGGATTATTACTTTTAATAGAGGATTTATGAAAAAAAAATTGTCTCTGGATTCACATAGTAGCCAAAAAATTTGGATCAGAAGGGTCTGCTTTATTTTTTACATAGAAATGTGCAATAGGTTCATAAAGCTAAAGATTTTCTGACCTTGTCATGGAAAATACATTCAGTAAGTTCTAACTCTAGTTCTGAAACCCAAGGATTCCTAGCTCTCCAATTCCTCACATTATTTTGTCGGAATTCAAGTCAGCTGCTATGATGGTTATATTATGCTATAGCATTGTTACGGGAAAACGGGAATGGAAATGGCAAGAAAGGAATAATCATCTTTTTGTCCTTCTTCTCTGAACTGTACATGTTTTTGGCTTCAAGGCCTAAAATTGGGATTTGTACTATAAAGAAACTGAGATTTTCTTTCATTGGCTTAACAGTAATTTTGTTTCATTTCTAGGTCCTAAGTGATTTGGTCTCTCAATATTTTGTCCTTTTCCTAAAATATTTGCTTTGTTTATCTAGGTACAATTATTCACATAATTATATTCATTCATTTGTAAAGAACATGTCTACATTAAAATAAATAGAAAATGTCATATGTAAACTATGCAGACAGCATGCAGAGCATACCTTTTTTTGTAGCTTATACTTCACGTACAATACAAAGATAAAATTATCTACAAGTACAAGTAAATTCCCAAATCTATAAAAATAACAAATACAGTGAATCCTTGACTAAACAGTTTAATACAGAAGAAGGAGTATCTCTGAGACTCATATGTTCATCCAGTGGTAAATAGGATGTTACATGCGTACATGGGACATTACAAGTGTCAAAGACAACGTGTGAAATGATTATTGGATTTATTCCACTGCATCTGAAGTCTGCCACTGAGGTCCAGTGTAAGCATTTGAGTGTTAATGTAAGCAAAAATATTGTAAAGAAGCAAAAAGCAAGATTAGGATAAGCCAGTGCTCAAGGATCATGAATGGAAAAAACTGAGAATGTGATTATCTGCTTAGCAATCAAAATTTTGGTCCCAATTGTGGCTGTATGATGAACACTACCTGTCAGAGGGGGTAATCAGCAGGTTCTGACCAGTTCTGGAGAACCGGTAGTGGAAATTTTGAGTAGTTAGGACAACCGGCCAATACCATCTCTGACTGGAGATTTTACAGTATCCTTCTCCTGCCACGCCCTCCAAGCCATGCCCACAGAACCGGTAGTAAAAAAAAATTGAATCCCACCACTGCTACCTGTACAGTATAAACAAATATGGCCAGGAGCAATATCTCCCAAGTCTTAATATTGTTGCTGTTGTCATGCCAGAACTGTACATGGTACTATACCATATAGCTGTAAATTGTTAATTTGCTTCAAGGAATATATAACACAAAGGAATCTATTAAAAAACAAATCTATCTTATCCTGCACCTCTGAATTCTTCTTTAAAAAACAGAGGGGCATATAAATGCAGCCTGCTGTTTGGAATGATCCAACCAATATCTAAGGATAGCTTCTCAAGAAGTATGAAAATAAGCCACACAGCAAGCTTTAAGACAATTTCGTTTATTATCTGGAAATGCAATAAAGTGGGTTTCAGACAATTCCCCTGATGGGCTCTGGGTGAATTTGCAATTGGGTGAATTTATGGAGACTCTCCACAGAAGAATTGCTCCTGAACCAATGCCTATTTCTCCTCACATAGAGAAATAATAGGCACATGGATTGCTACATACATACATACATACATACATACATACATACATACATAGCATAAAGTTCTTTGTTCTTCTCTCATATATTTTGTGAATGAACAGCAAGTGGTGGCTGCTTGGCCACTAGCAATGATGGCCCCTACATAGTAGTGTGTCTAACTCAGTCTTAAAATGTACAAGATGTGTACCTAAATCTCCAACAACCATTACAGAGGTAACTGAAATTCATATTATGCCTTAAGGAACATTCACAAACATAGACCCCTTATGTGAAATCACATCCTTTTATTTATTGTTCCCCTTTCTCTTTTCAAAAATTGGTTTCTGTTTGCCCAAACTGAAAGGGAAATGCAAGTCCATCTGTGGTTTTTTTTCCAGAGAAACTGCCTGTCTATAACCATCATTCTTCAATTTTCTCCAAGAAAATGCTCAAGGAAAGCAAAATCTTATGTCCCATTGTAGGGCATGATGGCAAGGTGGCAAAAAGATCCAGAAGGTTAACAGGGAAAAAGAAGGTGCAATATTCACATCATATTTTATTTATTTCCCTTCAGGTTGTGCATTAATGCGTATATGCTTTGATTCTAGTTCCACAAAGCGTCTCAAATCTGTAGAGGATGAAATGGACAGTCCTGGTGAAGAGCCATTCTATACCAGCCAAGGGCGGTCTCCAGGCAGTGGGAGTCAATCAAGTGGATGGCATGAAGTGGAGCCAGGTAAATAAAGTCACCCAGCTTTGGAGGAGGGGGGGGAGTTTTTAGCATTCCTGAACTCCATTTACTGATTCTGATAAGAACTAGTATTAACGTGTGAATTGGTATTTTTGAAAGGCTAGGGGAGTTGAATAAATCTGCAGCTGTAAATCCTTTGTTAATATCCATTTTGTTCTTTAGGCAAGCATTTGTAGTGTTGAATAATGGTTTCCATGGTTGTCAAGGTTTTCTTATCCCAAAATATTACTCTCAATTAGATTGGCTTGTCCTCAAAAGGAGTGTACACTGCAACTGTATTTTATTGTCAAACGACGGATGCTTGATTCTTCTTTTAAAAAAGGAAAGAAAAACAAAACCTTTCAAATTGTTCACTTAAATTGATTTTATTCTGCCATAACATTGTCGGAAAAGAGGTGCCTTTGTTAATTTGAAAGTTTGTATTCTGGCTTTGTTAGGTAATTTTCAAGTCCCTTTTTATTTAATATTTATATAAGTCGTTACATATTTATTTATTTAAAAGATATCGCCACACATCAACCAACTCTGGGCAGCTTATGACAACCATAAAACCAATAAATATAAAAGCAATTTAAAACAATAAAAATAAAATAAACAAAACACTCTTTTTGTCGCCATTGGGATGTCCCACAGAAGGTTCAGGCATCCTCCTTCCATGCCTTCTAACCATACAATCCCAGCCGATAAGTAAAAAAAACTAGGCCTCAACAGCCTTCCAAAAGGCTACAAAAATGGGAATTGTCAAATTGCCAGCAGGAGAGGGTTTCATAAAGTAGCAGCAGAAAAGGCATACTTCCATGGTCCTGCTAGACGGCAAGATTTCAACGAGAGGGCATGGAGCATGGCCACCTTATTTAGTAAGATTGGCTGGTATTCTTAGCAAAAGATGGAACTGTAAATAACTAGGTTCCATGCCACATAGGGCTTTAAAAGATGACCATCACTTTGAATTGCACCCAGAAAAAAACTGGAAGCCATGCAGTCAATAAACAATACACATACACACACACACACACATACAGATATACAACTTATTTTATGTGTAGTTCCTTGAAAAGTAGCGCTAATGATTTCTAGTATACTTCCAGGCTATTTTGGGTTCCTTGGAATTCAGCTCATCCTCTATACTTTCAGTATAGGGAATCATTGAGGAAAGATTTTAATGTCATCAGAAAGGATTCTAATGTCATCAGATCTGATTTAATGTTATCTAACCACTAATCCTATAAAGCCTAGGCCCCCTCTTGACATTGGGTTGAGGGAGAACAAGATACATTTAATTTAGATAAAACAATTTTTTAATTGGCTTTATTTTTCTTTGAGTTAATTGCTTCCAAGAGAAACTATGTTAGTTTCTTTTCTTTATATGGGCTGGCTTCATAACTGTATGACTGGAAAGCATGAGAGACAAGAGACATATCTGGAAGTGGCCAATATTTTTGATGGTCAGTATTTCTCAGATGATTAAATTATATCTCCTTCTATAATACTGGCTTTAAGCTGGCTTTGTGAAGTTTTCTACAACCCAGCCTTTCCATATCAGTATAAGTGGCGTATGTGTCTTCTAATTGCATGTCTTTCTGATGTGTTTTTGGTTTCTATATCTTTGATTATATTCTTTGGTGTCATTAAGGTATTTTGAAATAATTTAATAAGTAAGTAATAATGTTCAGCTGCTAAATAATATTTTAGAATCACTGCTTGATATAATATAACTTTTTTGGAAAAATAGGACCTTTGATTTTTGTATGAAAATTTTGTTCCTTGTGTGCTGCCTGTTTTATTGCATGCATTAGTGAAAATCAGATACTGATTCTGAATTTCTATTTATGATTTAACCAAGAAGTGATGAATGAGTGCAACTGGATCGTATTATTTGATCATCATAAATCTATTCCAACTGTGGTATTCCAAAATCAGGAGAAATAGATAACTTCCTCTGTGTTAACTAACAGAAAAAAGTAAAAGGGTTAAAAGCAAATAGGTAGATCTTGCTTAGTGACTTTTCATTTAGCAACCATTTGAAGTTATGATGGCACTGAACAAAAGATAGTTATGGCCCAGTCCTCAAGCTTACAGTCATTGTGGAGAAGCAGTGAGATCCACTCCTAATGACTGCAGTTGGGATTGCCAGAAAACTGCCATTGCTAAGCAGCACGTGATGCTAATGATGACTTTATTTGGTGATGGAAATTCCACATTTAGGATCATTAAGTGAGGACTGTAGTTCACTTTAAGGATGAGTGCTGATAAATTTCTGGAGGGCCTGGTAAAAATGAGAAAAGTGATGTCCTTAATATGTATCATGTGCTGCAAAATGAAAAGGAAAAACTCTGTGAAATTATTAGAAAACAAAATGAGCAGGCATGCATTTAGAGGAAACTGAGTAAAAAATGGAGGAACAAAACGTTAAGAGGAATAAACAGGATGAATTGTAGGAAAGAAGTAAAATCCTGAATCATTGCTTTGAGATTATGTTCACCAGAGTAATTTGCAATTTTCATTCCATTCTCATTTTGGATATAAAAAAAAAATCAGATATTTACACTTTTTATTTTCTGATTTTTTTCTTTGCTAGTTGTTTTAATATAGTGGTGCTGACATCAGATAAGTTGTATTATTTTTTTTAAAAAAACAGAACATCGTATTTTCATTCATCTCTGGGCAGAGTATGCTTTCCACCTAGTGGGGAAATGAATTTCGATATTTTTCTCCCAGTTAAAAAATGGGAGAACGACTGTTTTAAGCCTTTTATCTTAATAACCCTTGGTTATCTGTACTGTATGATTGGTTGCACATCATAATGTAGCATTTCATATATACAAATGGTGTGAGAACTGTGGGTTTAAATTAATGCTTTATTGTTGCAAGTGTTAGAATAAACTTTGGAAAGATCAGACAGAATATGGACATGTTCAAGATATATCTTGGGAGTGTTGTTCCTTTTTTTAGTTCCAAGGCAGACAATATATTAAACACTGAAACTCTGTTGTTGCTCTAAGTTAATTCAGTCTCATAATACACTGTGTAATTGCAAGATTCTTGCACTGAGCAGGGGGCTAGGACTAGATGAACTAACTCCACTCCTTTCTGACTTTCAAATTCTGTGTTTCTGTGATTTGTGGCTCAGTCAAGCAAAACAGCACATTAAATCTTTGCTCCTAATATTGTACTCATGGAGACTCACATCCATTTACCTGCACTCCAGTGTGCTTGGGGATTTCTCAGGCCTGGAATGGCTGGAGTCTGCCAGAAAAGATGAATTTCCTTCCACACAGGAAGACTCTGCAAAGTAAAACAAAGCAGACAACGAAGTAAATTATTTCTGCTTTTCAAATATCTCATGTGGTATCCGCTTTACTGTTAACTTTACCTCAGCACTTTCACCACGTAAATTTTTGCTAACAAGAGAAGGAAGGCAAGAGGAGATAATGAAGATGCTTAATTAGAAAATCATGCAGCTTCAGGCTTGGATTTGCGCTGTACTACAATTCTATAGGTGACTTCATTTTAAAAATTAGTAAAATAAGTTACGTATCTGTGAATGTACCTAAAAAGCTCTTGGCTTCAAAATTCGTTTTATTTTGATTTGCCACAGTCAAATGCATTCTGCAAATCTGAATAATATACAAAATTGACTTTTAACTTTTTTTTCTCTCTATTTCCCCCCAAAATTGCATTCTTTAACCCACTAAAGATGCTGTGCCCATCTTTATCAATGTGTCCATTTTTAAAATTGACAGTTGTCTGGCCTATCATTCACATTTTATGAGCATGAACATTATAAGCAGATATTTAATTTTAAAATGAACAGTGCCCTCCCTCTCTTTTTAATTAATGTTACTATTTTTTCTGTGCCCAGAATAGTTTAGGCACTGAACTACAATATTTATAAAAATATAACTATTGCCCCTCAAATACAAGTTTAATTATTTGAAGATCCAATCTAGTTGGCTTGTGTGACTGCATATTTTTCAGGCATTTTTGGAATTGGAAGTTATAAGTAGACTGCCAATGCTGAACCATGAATGGTAACATAAAGCAATAAAGCAGTGGCACAGTGGTTAGAATGCAGTACTGCAGGGTATTTTTGCTGACTGCCGGCTGCTTGCAATTTGCCAGTTCGAATCTCACCAGGCTTAAGGTTGACTCAGCCTTCCATCCTTCCAAGGTCAGTAAAATGAGGATGCAGATTGTTGGGGCAATAGGCTGACTTTGTAAACCGCTTAGAGAGGGCTGGAAAACACTGTGAAGCAGTATATACATCTAAGTACAATTGCTATTGCTATTACTGTACTATTGTCTGACATTAAAATGCAAGTTCAAAAGCCAGAGTTCATTGTAACATGTTGTAGAGCATAATTTATACTTTTTTTTTCTCATTGCAGTTTGTAAGAAATGCCCTGATAGGTTAAAGCTTTGGTCTTGTACATCAGATGAGTGTAAGAGACTACCTTGTGAATTTTGAATAAATCCTAGGAGGAGATTCCTAAGTCTGTTGAAACAAAGTTCTGAAATAACTTTTGTGCTAATCTTATATGTATTTTATAAAATTCTGGGAATCTTAGGGGTCCTTCCGTTTTCTTTATTACTTTTTCTTAGAAAATAGCAATCTTTGTTGCTGTTATGAGCTCTGAAAACTAAAAGTTGCTGTTATGAGCTCTGAAAACTAAATCTCTATATTTATTTATTTTTATTATTTATTATTTTATTTATTTATTTGTCAAAAGCTTACAATATGACTGAAGCAAGAATAAACATAAGTTTAAATACAAGAAATAGAAACTAATAATTGGGGACAATAGGACAGGGATCGTAGCCACGATTGTGCGCTTATGCACGCCCCTTTATATACAAATGCAGGTTACTCTGTATGAAAAATATATGTAGGAAGCAGTAAGAAATCAGATAAGTACTGTCAGACCTTATAAAGAATGAGGCAGGATAACCCAGAGTAGAAAAGAAAGCAAAACAGAAGCAATTCT